AAAGAAAGAAAGAAAGAAAGAAAGAAAGAAAGAAAAGAATTAGAGTGTGCCTCATGCCAGGATATCTAGAAGCAGCAGGATTTTTGATATTGGAGTCACAGACATCTGAGGTCCTACACATGATTTTTCCTAGACCTTGGTTCAGGGGCCCTGGAGTTTATGTGAGTCTGAAGACATATTCCCTATTCCTGCAGATCAGAATTGTGTCCCTGATTGCTAATCCTGTGGTTTCCAGGAGTCATTTTCCTGGCTGCTCTGCTGAATTGGCTGCTTCTGGCTCTTCTTGACCCAGCTCTTTTGAGTTGTTTCCTACCTCCCTGACTGATCCTTCTCAGTTTTCTCCATAACTCTGCATTCTTCATACTTCCCTTCTTTATTGATGTTCTCCTGAGTGCTGCCCTTGGCCCTTTTACCCTCACTCAACCTATGAGACCTGGATAATCCTTTTTAACTTTTTAAATTTTTTTTGGTGGTGCTGGGGATCAAACCCAGGCCTCATGCGTGGCATGTAAGCACTCTGCTACCACTCCACACCCTCAGACTTTTCTTTATTTTATCATCTTTACTTTCAGGGATCTTAAATATCTATTTCACTGCACACTTTCTTGATCCCTGGCTTTAAGTATCTATCTAACAATTACTACTACTATTGGACCACTTTCTCTTTTGGAAGATTCCCCATTGCTCCCAAAAGCCAAATTTGCACCAGTCACCTTTTCCTCACGTGTATTTCTCCATTAGCATTATTTATTTAGTTAATGGCATTATTAGTTATATGATCTTTGAAACCAAAAACCTGGAATCAACTTTACTCCTATTAATTTTCCATATTTAATTATTACCAGGTCCCATTAATTCTGCATCCTAAATTATTCTTCCTCTTTTCCCCTTGACATTGCCTAAGTTTCCCCTTGACATTGCTCACCATTTTTGCTTTGGTTATTACAGTATGTTCCTAACTTGTTTCTCTGGACTTCCATGATTTGGCAATAGAGTATAAGCTGCCTGAGGGCAGGCATTCCTGTCTGTATTTTTTATGCTATTTCCTTGGTGCCTAGAGTGGTACTTGGCACATAGTGGGCACCCAACTAATATTTGTTGGGTGAGTGTATAAGCAAATGTCAATAGGCCACATTTCCAGCCTCTTTACACACTTGTGTCTGATCCTCACTCAGAAGTCTAACCAGAGTGTTTACATTTCTGAATAAGTTAGGTCTTTGCATATTTTGTTCCATCGATTCATCCTTTGAGATTCAGCCCCATGTTGTCACCCATGGGAAGTTTTATCTTCCCCAGTCTTGGTGAAGTACCCCTGCCCCAAGTTCTACCTCTGAAGTAGCCTTTATCTTGTTTCCTTGTATTTGGTGATTTATATAAACCACAGGCTTTCTGAGGGTGGGGTTTGAAACTATTTTCTCTCTATTCCCCAGCATCTGACCCATAAAGAGCAGTCTGTAACATTTCTTGTGTTAATAGAAACATTTCTCTTTTTAAAAATATTTATTTTTTTGTAGTTGTAGTTGGACACAATACTTTATTTATTTATTTATTTATTTATGGTGCTGAGGATTGAACCCAGGGCCTTGCACGTGCTTGGCAAGCGCTCTACAGCTGAGCCACAACCCCAGCCCCAATAGAAACATTTCTATCACTGACACCACATTTTGTTAATTGTATTTCAATGATAGTAATAATGTTCAATCATTTAAAGCTGGTTAGTGAGTCCAGTGATGCTCATTTTACTATTCTTTTTATATTAAGTATGTGTGAAAATTAATTTAAAGATTATTTTGGGGGACTAGATCTATATTGGTCCCTCTATTAGATTTTAGGACCACAGAGATGTATAAACTCAGAACTTATCCTCAAGTTGCTTATAGTCTAAACAAAAACTTGTATACATGATGTAGCATGTATTTACAAATGTGTTTTCACACATATGCTATTTGTGGTATCTGAGAAGTTAGCTGAGGGAAGTCAAGAAAGGCTTCATGGAGGAGGTGTCCTTGAACTGAGAGGAAAGTAGGTGTGAGAGCAGTGCCTGTTTCTGTGGAATGGTTGTGTTAACCTGGAGTACAGGGTTCCTCTGGGTAGGATGGGAGATGGAAAGGCATTCTGGATCCAAATGGTAAAAACCCTGACTGGCACCCTAAGCTATATATACTTCATGTTCCTGTAGGTAACACGCAGATATTGAGGTTCTGTAAGTGGAGACTGATGTATTTAGAGTCATCCTTCCACCACCAAATACTGACACATGAGTTCCTACTTGCTGCTTCTTGGTCTGACTTTTCTCTCTCTCCAGGGTCTCAAGCCCAGTCGGGTCTATCAGTTTCTGCATGGATGCTGGGAGCAGGGAGAGAATGAGATGATCTATTACAGAGGGATATAAGTAGAAAGGCTGAGTTGCCAAATACCACACAGTGTGGGAGGCAGAACTAGAATTGTAACCCAGCTGTCTTTCTTCCCTGCCCAGGCAGTCCAGTACCGTCCCCGAGCTCCCTCTGTGTCTGGGCTGTGCCTTGCACACTGGGTGAGGTGTATCTTGAAGAAGGAAGAGAAACGACTCCAACTCCTGTGGAACTTCAGTGTGAAAGTGCGGATCACACACCAGAAAGACACACAGAGGGCAGAGAGAGGAGCAGCTGGAAACTCTAGATGTCCATGTTGAGGAGCCTGTGAGGGACTGTGGGGGCTTTATGGAGGCAGTGTGGTGCAGCTTTGGGAAGGTAATAGTGGACAGAGCTGGGGCRAAAGGAAGGAGGGGGAAGGATCCATAAAAAAATCTTTCGGAGGTGAGAATAAAACCTACACTACGATTCTTGTGCTTCTGGTCTGACAGCTTCTGTGTTGATGGCCTTGAGCAGCTAGCCATGTGGTTCCCAACAGGGGCAGATGTGTGGCGTGGCAGGGGTTGTGGGGTAGGAGCAGAGGGCTTGGGCTCCTATTTCTGTCTCTTTCTCTTCTTTTGCTCTAGGGGCCTGCCCTACTGGAATCCAGGATGTGTGGGTTCCAGATTCTTCCCTCCCCAACCTCCCCCAGACATAAATCACAAGTGATTTCATTAAATGCACCTCCTGCTGGGTATGTTGGCTCATAATTCCTCTCTGATTAACCCCCACTACCCCGGCAAGTTTATAGGCCAAGAGAGGGAGGGGGAGAGGGGAAGGGTAAAAGGAGGGATGGGGGGAATCCCAGGCGGGTGATGGATGCCTCTGTCAGCCCAGCTCGTATTTATTAATAGTCTTAATACGGGAAGCAATAAAGGAAGAGAGGGATTCTATTAATTAAATCATTGTTATAATTAACTTTCATTAAAGGAGGATCAATAAAGAGGGGTTGAGATGGAGAGAGGAGAGATCCATTATCTCTAATTTCCTTGGAAGGGATTCAGGGAATGAGATGGTGTTGCTAGGAGACAGAGACGTGAGGGAAGAAGGAAGGATGTAAGATGTCATCCAGGTGGGGCTGGAAGGGGGGCGGACAGGAGGGTTTCAGGTAGATAGAAAGAGGGAATGGTGAGGGTGGTCCACTCAGGAGCCCTGAAGGGAAYGGAAAGCTGTAGATAAGAGAGCTCTCTTGGGATGGAGAACAGGGGGGCCACAGGCATGTGCTCACGCAGGGCACTGCTGAGAGCCTTGGTGAGCACACAGGTCCTTAATAAATGCTTTATGATGCTGTGGATATGTCTAGCTCGTGAAGCTGGTTAGAGTGGATGGATGTGTTTTCGTGACTGTGGAGTCACAGAGTGCACTGCGGGTGTGTGAAGACGGCAGCRGACGGAGAGGGAGAGGCAGGGATGGGAGGAATAGAAAATTTTCTTCAGAGGTATGGGGCTCAGGGTGTTTTTTACTAAGTGAGTGCTGAATGATGTTCACTCTTGATGGGAGTAATGCATGTCCTCTGGCACAAGGCACAGTGATGGCTGCTATGGTGTGAGCAGTGGAGACCTTGGCCCCACTCCCCAGGAGCGCCCCACTGGACACTCCACCCTGAGCAGGGCCCATCAGTTTGCCTCCTCCCCGCTGCACTGTGATCCGAAACAGACCTCCCCTTTTGGGACAAAAGTTCTTTCACCTGCTATTCCCTCCTGTGCCAGCCCCCGGCCCCCAGCCTGTTAGGAGGAACAGTGGGAAGATGACTGCTCAGCAGTTATCTCTGCCCCTCTCCCCCACACCCCCGGGGTCTAGGAGTCAGGCCTGGACCCTCTTTGCTCTAGTCACACCTCCTATTAAACACACATTTTATGACAACAGTTACACATATCATATAAATATATTTGTCCAAACTACATATAAGAGGGGAGGGATATGGCGGGAGGAGGAAGTTTTTATTGCTGTGGGGGACCTTGAGAAGGAGGAGAGGCCAGGAAATGAGGACACCTGAAATCACTTGTTCCCCCATCCCTCACAGAAGGCACAAATACATTATTTCTTTCCATGTAAAGATATGGGTGTATGTGGGGGGTTGGGGGTGGCAGGAGACAGACAGGAATCCTTAAAAATACAAAATGAACCTCCAAACTTAATATCTAAGGCTATGGGAAAGGCTGGGATGGGGTGTGGAAGTCAAGCGGGGAACAGAAAGAGGAACCACTGAAGCTGAGACCCAAAGAGGTCATGATGTCCACACTGCTGCCTCTATACAGGCCCCAGAGAAAACTCAGGTAAACAAACATAAGCCCCAAATAAGAGAAAGTGTGGCGCCCCAGGAACTGGCTTTGGGGCAACAGAGAGGGGAGTGTGTAGGAGCCTGTGTGTGGTGGCTCTAGATACCAGAAGCCTCCGGGGCTAGCAGTGGACAATTCTATTCCCAGAGGGGAAGGTCTTCTCCATCCTGGTTCCTCTAAAACCGCTTTCAGGGGATAAATGCAGCCACTGCTTCCAAGAAGGACCCCTGCCTGGGACAAAAGGGCCAGGCGGGAGAGGACGAAGTTAGAAAGCTTGGGATGAAAACAGGGCACATAGGAGCAGAATATTATGGAACCTGGTGTGATGGAAAACAGGTATGAGAACCAAGTGTATGTCTGTGCATGAGTGTGTGCATGTGTGTGTAAGTGTATATCTGTGCATATACTAGAGAGGGGGGAATCACTCAAAGGTGAAAGGGTCCTGGGTGCTGAAAAAGAAGTGTCCATCCATGTGGTCCTCCAGGGCATCCTTGTCACTCTCAGCAGGGAAGCGCTCCTTACAGATAGGGCACTCCTTCCATGGGGGGGTGGCAGGGCCCCCGGTGCTGGCCTCTGACAGGGGACCCACAGTAAAGCCACTAAAGAGGGACAGAGGGAAAAGGAGAGGGTTAGTGTACTCTGTGCCTTGTTGACCTGCAGACCTCAGGGAGCAGGACCCCCAAGCCTTGGCCCAGATCATCCTGCTCATCATGCAGCATCCTGGTTGTCTCCGTCCCAGCCTCTCCTAGGGCAGCTTCCTCCCCACAACWGTGGAGCCTTCCACTGTTTCCAGATCCCCATGGCCTCTTTTCTTGAGGTCCCGCTGATCTCTCTAGTGCAGTACCCATCCCCCAGCCTCCTGCTCTCCTCCCTCCATCTCCGTCTGCTGCCTAATGAGGCTGAAAATGAGGCTGACATCGTCCTTCATCTTCTTGCTCCAGCAGAGAAGGATGACAGCGTCACCCCCTCCCTGCCCCGAGCCCATCTCATACCCAGGCAGAGCTGGGGGCTTGATGATAAAATCTCTCTTCCCCACACTCTGCCCTCCTGACCCAGGGAAGAAAAGGGAAGGCAGAAGGGGGCAATTTGGTACCTGAACCCTCCTCACATCCCTGGGGAGTCCCCCTCCCAAAGAGTTCCCCAAAGGAAGTCAGGGAAGAGGGACAACACCTCAGGTTCAGTCAAATAGCTGCTGGGTCCCACTTTCCTTACGCTCCTATCCCTGGGGAACTGGATCACCTCCCTTTCTCTCCCAAGGAGCCTAGGTACCTACCTGGTGGTTGGGGAAGGGGTAGGGGCAGGAGAGAGGGGATGCAGGGCAATTTGGGCTCCTCGGAAGATGGTGCTAGAACAACACAGAAGCCAGTTAAGGGCAGGGGGAGAGATTACCTGGAGGTACCTGGGACTCCAGCACTGGGTGATTTTCTATGTCAACCAAACCTGCATCTCCTCCTTTTGGCTGAGGCCAAGAAGGGAAGGTTGAAGCAGGGCATGGTGACTATTCACACGGACGCTCTTTCCCACCAACTTTGTCCCCTCTCCCCTGTGTCTTCCTCTTCCCCACTCACCTGGCCATGTCATAGAAGGCACTGCCCAGTTCAGGAAGCAGCAGGTTGGCCTCCTCACCCCCACTCTGCACAGCGGCCATCAGGACTGATTTTTCGTCCTCAGCCTCCTGGGGACCAAAGAGATAGGATAGGGTTTGGGGTGGTGTCCAAGGTGGGGGAGCAGCACATGGGGACAGGTCAGGGAAGAGAAGGATGGGACAGTGGGCAGAGGGCTGTAGGAAGAGAAAGGCAGGAGAGGCATTTTGATGGGAGCAGGTGGTTAAGAGCAGCAGGGGCTGGAAGTGAGGACTGGGCTGGACTGGGTTTTGGGGTGGTATCCGTTGGTGGCCTTGAAAAGAGGCTGTGTCTGCCTCTTCTCCCCTGAGAACAAAAGAGAGCCCTGGAGGCTGGGGATGGAGCTCAGTGGTAGAGTGCTTGCCTAGCAAGCAACAGGCCCTGGGTTCCTCCTCGGCTCTGCAAAAACAAAAACATAAAAGAGAGTGCCCTATGGCACAGACTTCCTGCTGTGGAGGCTGGGACTCCTGGGTGTATGTGGCCCTACCCACTTCTTACTGCTTCAGCTCAGGCTCCCCTTACTGCTCACCGAGTCAGAGCTACTGTCCTCAGCTGGCCCTGAGAGGTGGGGAGCAATGGGAGCCGGCTGGCTGATGACAACCAGGGGAGAAGCCTCTCGGGGCCCAGCAGGAGAAGAGCTTGGGTCTCCACGCTCACACAGGCCATAGGGCGGGAGCCTCATGTCTTCTGGGGACTCATCCTCTGAGTCTGTGAGAGGCGCTGGGCAGCCTATAGGAAGAGACAGGCAGAGAAAAAGAAGGATGCATTGCTAAAGGACTAGATCAGCTTGATCTCCTCTGGATGAGGGAGATAGTTACACTAAATAGGGGCCAGGGCCTGGGAAGGAAGAAGGCACTTCCTTCCTCAACAAGGGGAGGAGGAGTGGGAAGAGGTGTCACAAGATTGGGAGTATACAGACTCAGCCCCGCAGTGGTCTCCTCGTCCTCTGTGGCAGCATCCTCATTCCACTTCTCATCTGCCACCTTCTCCAGGCGGGCCTCCAGCTTTCTCATGTACTCTAGCAGTTCCTGGAGTTGGGGAGAAAAGAGACAGGTGCTTGAGGCTGGGAAGATGCTGATCTTAATGGCCTAAATGGCCTCTGCTGGCTCCAAGATGAACTCCTCTCTCCTCAGGATGAGGCGCCTTCACCATAGGTGGGGGAACATAGGTTAGATTTCCTTTCCCAGGACATTTCTTTCACCCTGACATCCCTCTCTTCTCCCGGTGATCCTCCCCTGCCCTGCCAAGTCATTTAATAAGAGGAGCCTGGGTCTCCTTTCTAGCCTCTGGGCCCTCTTAGAGATTCCAGTTTCTAAGACAAGAATTGACAAGAAAATACAGAGTTTCAAGCCCCCACATCTTCAGATCTGGCATCCAGGAGGCTTGAGTTCTGGTTCTCACCTGCTTTTCTACCTGCAACTGCTCTTTTTCTTTCTGGAGCACACGCAGGGCGGACCGCAGCTCTGTCAACTCGCGCTTACTCTCTGACAACTGCACCTGAGGGTAAAGGGCCAGATGGAACCTGGACCTAGAATGTGAATCCAAGAACTTGGGCTCTGGGATCTGGATCAACAATCTAGAACCAGGTCTCCCCCACCTCTGCTCTGACACACACAATGCTCTTCCTCTATAAGATCTTTGTTCTGGCCACAGAGTCTCAGTCTCTGCTTCTTGAGTGTGGACACAGAAGATTTGTCCTAGTCTGGGGTGTAGAGGCCTTGGTCATACCAGGGGAGCACTCTATAATTCTCCTAAGTCACCCTTTATAGGCCCAGATATGGGCCAAGAGCAGATATTGCATATTCAAACCAAGAAGGGCTGGGAGGTGTGCAATTGAGGTGCCACCTAACAAAGAAACATGCACCTGGCATGTCTGAGCCCACACTCAGGACAGTGAAGGAGCACAAATGCCTCAGGAGGACACAGATGGGGCTCATGGAGGTCAGGTGCCTCACCAGGCTAGAATCCTTTTCCCGGGCCAGTTCAGTCTTGAACACTTGGTTCTGGGTCCTCTCCTCCTGAACTGCCTTTTCCAGCCGAAGGATCTCTGCACTAAGCTTCAGGATCTTGTCCTTCTCTGCCTGGGAGATGGTCAAAGGAATGGGAGGTGAAGTCATGAAGAAAAAGGGATGCCACTGGCAACAGCATCATCTCTCACCACGTCCCTTCTTTTGTTGAATGGAATGGTTGAACCACTTTCCCTTCTTACCTTCCTTATTTCCTATACCCCCTGAATGAAGGGTAAGGACATGACAGCAAGGTGCTATGCTGACTGGGAATGGACATTATGTCAGGGCCTGGTACCTACAACAGTAATGTTTCTGTACCAAGGAAGATAACTAAGGAAGGTGCTATGGTGATGGGGATTGGGATACCTGATGTGGATCATGCCTAGAAAGCAGTGTATCTCCACCTTCCTCCAAGCCCTTCCTTGTCCCTAGGTATTCTTAGATTCTCCCAGAGGGTCTGCCCATATGTAGGAATCCCCATGGAGGTGGGGGCAGTAGCCATGAGACTGCCAGGTCCCCCTGCCCTTCTACCTCCACACTCTGCAGCAACCCTGCCCGCTCCTTGTTCCACTGGCATTTTTCCTCCTTCAGGTGCAGACTGAGCTCAGCCAGCCTGCCGGTGACTTCAGCCACTTCCAGGCGGCTGCGGTGTAATTCCGCTATGGTGCGGTCCCTGGCTCCTGCTGCACTGGCCAACTCCTCCCCAAGAAGGGCAGCCTTCTGCTGGCTTGAGGCTGCAAGCTCCTGGGCTCCTCGAAGCTGCTCCTTCAGGGGTTCCAGCTCAGCCTCGGGAGAAAGGAAGAGATGGAGGTCAGAGTTCCCTTGCAAACATTTATGAACCAGGTCCCCACTCCCCACTCTTGGAATTAGGGCCTGGGACTGTGTTGTTTAGTCTTTAGCTGTATCTCTTCCCCTTGTCTCTGGCCACCAGACTTTTCTACAGCTAGCTTTTTGAACATAAACTGCTTCCTATCGCCTGGGGGTCTTCACTTACCACTCGCTGCTGGGCCTGGCCTAAGGTATCCTTCATCTGGGCCAACTTGTCCTTCAGTCTCTGGGCCTGAGCACTCTGCTCTTCTTGCTGACCCTTGGCCTCCTGCAGCTCCACATTTAAGCGGTGGTTCTCCTGTTGTGCCATTTGGAGCTCAGCCTGATGGAAGTGGAAAGAGGTAAGAAAAGGGGTCTAAGTGTTGGAGTGAACAGGGAGAGGGTGACCTCTGTCACTGTGATGAGAGGAGAAGGTTCCATTTCTTAGACTTAATACAAACTCAAGTGCTCACCTCTTCCTAGCCCTACTTGATTCTCAACTTGTAAGAACTTGAACTTGAACATCCAGCTCCCAAACAAGGATTTCCAACATCACAACCTGGGGTCTTCAATGTGGATGTCTCACATCCCACTTCTGCTTTCCCATTTTACCTTGTGTGTGTGTGTGTGTGCACATGTGTGTGTGTTACTGGTGACTAAACCCAGGGCCCAAACATGCTAGGCAAGTGCTCTATCATGAGCTACATTCCCAAAACATTTTATTTTGAGACAGGGCCTCACTATGTTCCCGAGGCTGGCCTTGTTCCTCCTGGCTCGGCCTCCTAAGTCATTGGGATCACAGATGTGTGCCAATGCACCCAGCCCTGCTTTTCCACTTAAATCAAAACCCAGTCTGAATGTCCTGCCAGCCCCTCAAACTCAACATATTCTACCACTCACCCTAGTCTTTTCTACTGTTACTCTCAGTAACAAACTAGCTCCCAAGCCACCCAGGCTAGATACCTTAGTGCCACGCATGGTTCTGTTCTCTCTAGTTGCCCACCAAAAAGCCTATTGCTTCTCCATCTTCTACTTTACCACTGAGATATTTCCCCAGCCATTTTTATTTTTAATTTTGAGGCTGTCTTGCTAAGTTGCTAAGGCTGGCCTTGAATTTGTGATCCTCCTGAGTCTGGGATTACAGGCAAGTGCCACTGTGCCCTATTCTTTTTTAAAAATTTAATTCATTAATTACTTTTTTAAACCCTGGGATGCTTTACACTGAGCCACATCCCCAGCCCTTTTAATTTTTTATTTTGAGTCAGGGTCTCACTAAATTGCTCAGAGCCTTGCTCAATTGCTGAGGCTGGCCTTAAACTTGTGATCCTCCTGAATCATTGGGATTATAGGCATGTGCCACCAGCCTTGTTTTCTTTTTTTATTACTGTTGCAACCATATTAGCATAGGCTCTAGTCATTTTTTGCTTGGTTGACTGAATAAACTCAATAACTAGTTTATTTTTCACAAGGCAACCAAATTAAACTTTTCTTGGGGGGGTACCAGGGATTGAACTCAGGGGTACTTGACCACTGAGCCACATCCCCAGCCCTATTTTGTATTTTATTTAGAGTCAGAGCCTCACTGAGTTGCTTAGCACCTCACCATTGCTGAGGTGGGCTTTGAATTTGCAATCCTCCTGTCTCAGCCTCCCGAGTTGCTGGGATTACAGGTGTGCGCCACCGTGCCCATTTTCAGATTAAACTTCTTTAAATATAATTCTTTATGTATATATCATCCCTGCTTGCAAACTACCAATGCTTCTCACTGCTTAAAGAATTAAGTCAAGATCCTCTACAATCTGACCTAAGCCTTGTCTCAGACTCTTCACTCACACATTCACCTGCTCTGAATATGTATTCTGGTCTCTAAGCCTTTGCTCCTATCTCTCCCTACTCTTAAAGCAGCCTCCCTTTCTGTCTACTCAAATTCTACCCATTCCTCACTTCTGAGCAAAGAGTTTTCAAACCATACTCTATAGAAGTCCAAAATTCTGAGGAAGCAATTGAGGGGTTCTGTAAATATTTGATTTGAACTTGTTATTATTATTTTTAAAATATTTATTATTTTTTTAGTTGTAGTTGGACACAATGCCTTTATTTATTTATATGTGGTGATGAGGATCAAATTCAGGGCCTTGCATGTGCTAGGCAAGCACTCTACCATTGAGCCATAACCCCAGTCCTGAACTTGTTATTATTATTGTTATTATTTTCAGTGCTGGGATGAAATGCAAGGCCTGGTACATGCTGTATAAGCATTCTACCCAAATTAGACTCCAGCCCCAAATTGTTCTAACTTTTTTGAAAATTAGGTTTAAAAATAGCACATAGACTCACAAGTTGACATACTGAAGATCACCAATCCATCAACATGTGTTTCTAATTTGTTAAATGTTTAACATTTCTAAAAATGTTAATTCATTTTTGTGCAAACCTCAGAATAAAATTTCTATTGTATTTTCTATTGAAGTGAAGAGTAAACTGAGACTGTAAGACGAACAGTTCAAAAACTGTTACCACTTGCACCTACTTGTGTGGTGACTCAAGGTGTTCTCAATGTTGTACAATCCAGACAGAATATAGGAATGCATTGGCTGCTAAGGCTGACAGAACAGTCATCCATAATCCTTAATTTCAAAGTTTGGTATCCATCAAACTTACTTAATTGCTTTCATTACCTTATAAATTAATGTTTATGTTTAAATTCATAAGAAATAAATTTATAGTAATAAAATATTGCTTTTATTTATTTAGTGAGGTTCTACATAAGATGTAAAACTTCATTGGGGATGGGGAAGATGGGACTCTGCAGCCAATAATATTTGGAAGTAGGAGGCTAGTTCATGACTTCCTTTTAACAGCCTTTTCTAATGTTTCTAAGATATGCTCTCATCCAACTCTTTGGAGTCCCATAATACTGTATTAGATTTCCCTTGTGACATTCCTTATATTCCACTTTCACTGATTTCAATCTGGGTGTGGTACTATGTTCTGAAATAGAGTGCCCACAGGGTCTTCTTCACATTTTTGCCCCAGCACTCAGAAAGGGCTCCATGATCAGCTGAGAAAGCACACCAGCTCTGAGCCCGTGCTTACCTCGTTTTGCTCCTTGTCTGCTTGGACTTCCTTCAGCTGCCCCAGGAGCTTCTCTTGTTCCCGAGTCAGGGCCTTAACTGCGTCTCTAACCCTGTGAGTGGGGAATGACATGTCAGATCATCAGGTCATCCAGAGAAGGACCCAGACTTCTGTCCTGTGCTCTTCTTCCAGTGTTCCTGCTCCATTTGGCTCCAGATGCTCAAGTCCCCCAACAAAAGGACCCAATTCCAAGTCCCAAGAACTCAAGATATCTGGTTCTTGAGCAAAACTGAGAAATGTAACTATTTTCTTTTCTTTTTAAGTTATCACTTTTAAGGAATGTTCTGCTGAAGGCTCCCTATTTTTACTCAATTGAAAGACTAGAATCCAGTTTTTTTTCTAGATCAAGAGTAGTCACTATTGTTTATAAACTTTTGTTCTAGATCAGAAGTTGGCAGACTTTTTTGATAAAGGGCCTGAGAGTAACAATTGAAGCTTTGCAGGCCATGTGGTCCCTGTAATAATTACTCAACTCTGCCACTGTCTGTGAAAGCAGCCATCGTATACAGTAAGTAAATAAGCAGGTATTATAATAAAACTTCACTTATGAACACTGGGATTTGAATTTCATGTAATTTTCATATCCCAAAATATTATTATTATTTTAATCTATTCTTCAACCAATAAAACATCTAAAAACCCATTCTAACTTATGGGCTGTACAAAACCAGGCAATAAACTAGATTTGGCATGTGGGTCACAGTCTGCTGACCCCTGGTCCAGACAGTCCCTGAGAACATACACATCGAGTGTCTCCTAAAGGTAACACTAGTGTATCCTAAAGAAGCCTCTCATATCAACTCACTTTTTATTCTGGGCCTTGGGCAGAAGAACTTTTTCCTTTAAAGAGTTTTTAAAAATATCAAATCTACCAGTACTGAAAGAAAATTAATATATTTGATCAATGAAAAAATTGAAGAATTTAACCCCGTAAAAATTTAAAGGACAGGGGCTGGGGATGTGGCTCAAGCGGTAGCGCGCTCGCCTGGCATGCGTGCGGCCCGGGTTCGATCCTCAGCACCACATACAAACAAAGATGTTGTGTCCGCCAAAAACTAAAAATAAATATTAAAAATTCTATCTCTCTCCTTCTCTCTTTCACTCTCTCTTTAAAAAAAAATTTAAAGGACAAACATGGAAAATAGTCAATATTTATGCTATTTGGTAGAAATAACAGTTTTCTGAGGGAAGAAACATTTATTCTTTATAGCTCCAAAGATCTAACCCAGGACCCATTGGTAAGGTACATCAAGGTAGAGTTTGGTCCTATACATAAGACTAAAGTGTCAGCTGTCCAAAATTGAAAGAGGCTGTCTCTTCAGAATGACCTTCTCTAATATACCTTACATTACTCTCAATGCTAATATTCTATGATTTTTTCTTTCTTCAGGGCTGAGAAACAAACTCAGGGCCTTGCTCATGCTAGGCAAATGCTCTGCTACTGAGCTAAATCCCCAAGCCCCTAAGATTTATACTTTTTTCAAGGGAGAGACCCAGATTCCTGGATCACTAGCTCTAGAATTTCTTAAGTGAAAACAGAGTCTAATCTTATCTTTCCTGTGGTAAAATTTGAAATCCATCCTTTCTTATCTTGCATTGACTATTCTACCCATTCTCTTCTTCCATATCCTCCACTCCTAGCTCTTGCTTAGCTTTGGCTGCACAATAAATGGTAATTATAATTATTTCTGAAAATAATGAATACAGAATAGCATTTGGAAAGATGAAAAAGAGCTAGGTAGAAACATTGATGGTAGTTGGAATACTCTGAGTGAAGTTGAGAAGAGACAGAGAAACAAGGTGAGACAGAGATTTGTCTGCCTGCAATAGGAGGCTAGAGGGTGGGGGTCACAGGAAATAAAGGGCATAAAAAGGGGCAGAAAGTCCCCTAACCTGTCCAGCTCCACCTCCTTTGTCAGCACTTTCTCACTGATGGTCTGAATGTCATCTTCCAGCTCTAGGATGCGTGCCACATGGTCTCCCTGTTGGCGGCTCAGGATGTCCCTCTCTTCTGTGAGCTCCCCATGGGACCGGGAAAGCCCCTGGAATTAAAGTTCCCACAGAAGAAGAGGGAGATTGAGACTCATCTCTCAAAGAAAAAGACAAAGAATTAGGAAGAGCACACATATGTTAAACTCCCACCCCATCCACTGCCTTCCCTGAAAAGCCTGCCCAGGACATTCCCTCCCCTGGGAAGACAGCTGGCCCACCTTACATTCCCATGGTCAGAGAACCAAGTCTTACTACAAATTTGGGACATATCTCTTGTATTTCAGTTTAAACCCACTTGTTAGCCCTTAAATCTATTTTCTTGATGTCAGAACCATTTTTAAAGCCCACCAACATCTCCTTCCCTCTTGTCACTGGGTTCCAATTTCAGATGCTGGGTGAGCAGCCAGGCCCAGCCCTTGACCAGGCCCAACTCCCACCTTGTACTGCTCTGTCAGCTCTGCATGATTCTGCCTGGCAGTCACCAAAGCTGTGTCAAGCTCTTGCACTCTGCTCCTCAGCTCTGCCACCTGCCCCTCCAGCTGCAACTTCAGCTGCATCAGGTCATTCCGTTCTTGCTGGCTCTCATCCAGTTGGTTCTACGGGGGTAGAATGAGAACAGGGTGTGTCTGCAAAGCACCCATTATAAGGCCCCATCACTCCCCAGATGCACTTCAGGATTGGGAAGGTCCCACCACTCCCCAGATGCACTTCAGGGTTGGGAAGCCATGGCAATATGAGCCATGAAGGGGTGAGCAGGTGAGGCTGCAGAGTCCCTGTCCACCACCTACTCAGACACACCAATCGGCACTCTTCTGCCACTCCTCTTACCTTCCCACCCCAGGTCTGGTACCTTCTTCACCCAGCAGCGGCAAAAATCCCATGTCTGGCCTGAGGCACTGACAAGAGCAGGGAGGTCTCCTAAGTTTACCCAATCTGTTTTAGTCTTGGAAACACTTGGGTCAAATCTCCAGTACAATGTTTTTAAAAATATTTTTTTTCAGTTGTTGATGGACTTTATTATTTTTTTTTATTTATATACAGTGCTGAGAATTGAACCCAGTGCCTCACATGTGCCAGGAAAGCCTCTACCACTGAACTACAACTCCAGCCCCTCTCCAATACAATTTTTAATAGGTATATTAAAACAAATTATTGAACTCCTCTGAGCCTCTGCATCTTCATCTGTGATGTGACCCCTTAATCTGAGTTGTTGTGAGGCTTAAAATAAGTGTAATGACTGTGAAAACAGAACACCAAGTAGGAGCTCACACATCTCTGACCTAGGTGAGGTGTGACCATCTTTCTATTCTTGGTTTGATTCTATTTATTTATTAGACTTGGGATTCTAGAGGCAGGAGTTTGTCTAAATCACAGAAAAGCTACCCACTCTCACCTTCTGAGCCTCCTCAGCCCTTTCCTCTCATCTGGGGAACAAATGTGCTCCCACCTTGCCCTGGCCTTTGCCTTTCTTCAGGAATGCTTTCTGGATAATATCTGCCTCTGCTCCCTAATTCTTCTCTATTTGGCCCACTGGGAATATGATATAAGCCACATGTATATTTAAATTTTCCACTAGTCACTTAAAAATGGAAGTAAGTGTAAATGTAAAAGTAAATGTAAAATTAATTTTATAATGTTATCTAATCCGGTCTAAAATATTATCATTTTGACATGTAATCAGTATAAAAATTATTGGGATATTTCACAGTCCTTTTTTTAAATACTAAAAAATAGATTATATCTCAACTTGGAGTCATCACATTCGAAGTACCAAGAACATGGTCAGTGCCTGTGGTACTGGATGGGAGAGGTCTGGGCACTCCTATCTGCTCTGGCAGGCCTCATCCTTACTGCTTCTCAGTGGCCTCATCCACCCTTTGGATTTTCCTCTAGGGCCTAGGGCAGGATGTAGTGCTCACAGAAGGAAGTCTCAAAAAGTTTCTTATGAAACTGAGTTGCATGGCCTGTGAGTGGCTTGCTTTCCTGATTCACAAGTCCATGTCTATGTCAAGGTTGAGACTGTCCACTGAGCTACATATGTCCCTATCAAGGTTGAAACTTTCTTGATAGGAAAACTTGGTGAGATCTTCAGTTGAGGCCATAAATGAGGGGAGAGGGAAGTGGGAAGGGCCCCTTACAATGTTCTCTTCCCCTCCCTTGCCTACAAGCAAGTCTATTGCTCTTTTCTCACTTGAAGCACGGTGGCCTTGGGGACAACCAGCAGGATGTCAGAGCCTCCATCAGCCTCCTCCAGGGTCACCAGCTCATCCATGGGCCTTGGCTCTCGGAACTGGAAAGGAGGGCTCTGACCACACACCCGGCCCTGGCGGTTCACATATCGGAACTGGTAGAGCTGTGCTCCTGGTTTGGGCAGGTAACTGGCTGTGGGAAAAAGAGTGGACCCAGAACCCCAGTATGATCCAGGATGTCAAGTGCTCTGCAGGTCCTTTCCTCATTTAATGTACCACATTTTCTATTGTTCTTGGCTCCAGACCCTTGCTCCCTAGCCCATATACCATTTCTCTCTTCCCACAGATTATTTCTGTTCCTTGGACACTCTCCTTCCTCTTTCCCAAGCCCACTGCCCCCGTAATCATCATCATAATGCTAGCTGCCATGTATTGAGTGCCCACCTTGTACCAAACACTGCACTAACAGTTTTACCTTAAATCTTCATATTATGCCTACAAGCCTGGCATCCCCATTTACTGTTAATATAACAGAAACAAAGAGGTAAGTAATTTGTCTAAGGCCCAACAGCCTGTAAGTAACAGAGCTAAGATTTGACCCTAGGACTTTCAGAATCTTATGAGTACCCTCTGCTCAATACATGATGCTACTTCACCTTCTTTTCACCCGCTAGTTCCATAAGGGGAATTCCTTCTTTGGGTAGGTGATGGCATCAGATGCCCTCTAAAGATCCTTCTGTCTCTAAGTCTATTCCGAGAGCTCTGTAACATATATTCTTATTAGAGTATTTTTTTTCTTTTCTTTTTGAGTTGGGGGTCTTACTAGTTGGGGGTCTTACTATGTTGCCTGGGCTGGCCTCGAACTCTTGGGCTCAAGTGGTTCTCCCGCCTTGACTCTTAAGTAGCTGGGACTACAGGCATGGGCCACTGCGGTATAGCTCGTATTCGTATTATAGCATTCACTTTTCCTTGTCCTCTGTGCCTTTTACATTTCTGAGCCCGGAACCCTTATCCCAACTTCTTTTTGGCTCTACCCTCCCAGTCTTCCATCTTCCCTTATACCTTGGAATTGAACACTGGCGTGGATAGGAGAACCATCAGTGGTACTATCAGGCACTGAAGACCACACAAACGTGTGGTAATCCCGAACACAGGCAGCCTCGACCTGTGAAAGACCAAGATGGGAGAGGGGTGTAGCAATGGAAATACCATCTAAGGATGGTGGAGGGGCTGAGGGATGGAACAGGGTGTAGGGTGGTGTTACAATGTCAAAGATAATAAGAGATAGGGAAAGTGGGGGGACACTACTGTGTAAGGAGAGAACAAGGCTAAAATGGAGAGAAGGTGAGTTTGCTGAGAAGATGACCTCTATCACTGGTGACATCTTTCTCTCTTCTTCCCTATCAACATAAGGAATCCAAGAACCTAGTCATTTCCCTTATTCTAATCAACCCATGTCCCATAAACCTGAGACAAGAGGGGTTTCAGAGTTACCTTGAAAATGCCAATCCAGTCACTGGCACTGGGCATGGTGCCTGGTGGGAGGGTATAGTGACATTCCACCTTGGTGTTGGGGATGTAGGTCCGGGCAACATTCAGAAAGTTGACTCCTCCCCGGGACAGTGTCCGGCTTAGTGATGATTCTTCCATCCTGCCCTCAAGATATCTGCTCTCCTATGAAATAAAAGAGTTGAAAAAGTCTCTCCACTCTACTCCCATCACCCCAGCTCTATCCACACCCAGCCACAACCCTGTCACTATACCTGCAGATGAGGGTATACCTGGTTTCCAGCCCCTGAGGGTTATGGGACTTTTTAAAGGTATAACTCTTTTTTAAAATATTTTATTTTTTAGTTGTAGATGGGCACAACATCTTTATTTTATTTTGATGTGGTGCTGAGGATGGAACTCAGGGTCCTGCACTTGCTAGGCAAACGCTCTACTGCTGAGCCACAACCCCAGCCCTAAAGGTATAACTCTTAATCTCTAGAACATAGGTCTGGCCTTGTAAGTCAGTCCCCACCCTGGAGTCATGATGTACCCTCTGTTCTCATAGGCACTTCCTAGAATTCAGTTGTCTATAATTTTTACTCCCTTTTCACTGCCTCATTGACCAAGTCTCAGTATCCCAGGCTTTGCTCCCCATCAGTCCCTTCTTTTTGACTCTTAATTAACTTCCTTCAGAATTCCAGATTATTCAGTCTCCATTTCCCCATCCCATTCCCACAACACTGGCTCTTGAACTCAAAATCCAACTGAGGTATGGGGCCTTCTCATTCTGGTCTCCTTATTTACTTCTGAGCTTGTTGACCCAACTTTACCCAGGAATGAATTATGACACCTGAAAGCAGCAATTAATCTCTGAAAGAAATAGTTGAGTCTTTAGAACTGGAATATGGCTGGAGGTAGTAAGGGACCAACAGTTTGGGCCTGGCCCCCGAGCTCTCAGTCCATTCCCCTTTCTGAGATTTCCACCCCAGTCAATTCTAGGGAAGCAGAAGGCTTCTTCTCTCATCCAAGAAACACTGGCAAGGGGAGGATATAAGGAAAGACAGGTTCTGTCCCTTAACATCATTATTCCAGGAAGTCAAGAATTCTGGAGGCGGCAGCTTCAAGGGTGGAGTGAAACACTCAGCAGGAACGTGGTACTGTGGGGAGATGGAATGTGGGGGCCTGGAGCCAGGAAAGCCTCACCCCTGGACAGGGGACAGGCTGGAGAGTGGGAAGCAAGGGGCCTTGAGAAAGGGAAATGTATATTTAGTGTTAAGAAAAGGAAGAGATAGTTAAAAAGAACCTATCATTCTTYTTGGCCTGCAAGAAAATCTTGCCTGAAACAGGACTGGATACCTACTGGTCTGACTGGATGTTAACCCAGTTATAACATTTCCTTCTCCATTTTCTCTCTGCTCCTCTTAGATGCAGTGCTAAGTGCCCGAACCCGTCATCTGTCTACCTTGGTAGTTGAAGACATGCTATGGGATGGGGTTTGGAAGAAGGGATGTTCCAAGTAGCTGGGGAGAGTTAATTAGAAAATATGGGGGTGGGGTGAGGAAAGCTGACAATAATAACAATCCAGGTAACTCCTCAACCAAAGGCTGAGAGCCATCCCTCTTCTCTCCTCTCCAGCCCACTAATCTGCTCGGGTCAGTTGCAGCTGATGTGTTCATTTAGCCATCACTACTGGTCACGTGCATGTCCCAAACACCACAAACCCACATCAGACTGAAAACAGAAACTCAGTGGAGAAGGAAAGGTGGGTCAGCAATATAAAAAGGTGTACATTCTTCCTCTAAAATAGAGATTGAATACAGCTTGGATTTTTCAAAAAATCCCTGGTTAAAACTAATCCATATTTTCTCCAAATATATTACTTCTGGGGGGAGGGGGAGTGTAAATTGTTTCGAAAGATCCAAACCTGAGGAACCCCTAAATATTCCCCACAAAGAAGATTAATAACAGCTGCAAACATTCTTCCTGTCTGAAAAGTTCTGGGCACCCAAAGTATATGTGGTTAGATTCCGATGTTCACATGGGTATGGGTGTCAGTGTGTGTGTGTGTGCTTGTGCGTGTGCGTGAGCGTGTGCGCGCGCGATCCCTCCACTCTCTAGGACTCTAGAATGCCTTGACGTTTCACAACTTGGAAGTTTTTCCCCTCGGAGATTCTGCGTAGTGAAGGCCTTTGGATTGGGGTGAGAGTGGGGTTTGTGAGGGTCAAACCTTGCTTGGAAGAGAATAAGTAAAAATTTAGGCCCCCTCAAACCCTCCGTAAATGTATCAAGCTTTATAAAGAAGGCCCAAGAAGAGACTGAGGACAATGAGGGGGCACCCCTTGCTCAGGGGCCCCTTGAAACCAAGAACACCCAAAACGTGGGGGTGGCTTCTCCAGTACGTAAAGTATTAAAATCCAAACGCTCCCGCACCCGCCTCTACAGTTCCCTTGGATTATCCTTTCACAGGCAGGAAAGTGGGGTGACGTCCCCCCCACCGTAAGACCACCCCCCGAATTAGGCCAAGTTTCTTACCCCACAGGCGATCAGCTGTTCCCTCACCTTTCACCAACAACAAAAACAGCACTCCGACTCCAGGAGGGGCGGGGGAGAGGGGACGCGAGGACTTCTGGAGTATGTGGTTCTTCCGCGGCTGGTTCGCAACTAAGCTTGCTGCTTTTAGGACTACACATCCCAGGATGCTGCGCTCAAGGGGGCGGAGCCGAGGGCGGTGGCTCAGAGGACTCCGCGCGGCCTTCTGGGAGGCGTAGTCCTCGTTTCCGTGATGGTCCACGAGGGTGTGGCCACCAAAAGACTTCATGGCCCATAATTCCTCAGGAGGGACAGGCTGCGCTAGTGGTGGCTTCTGGTTTGTAGCACGCACTGGAGGGAGGTGTTGGGGGAAGGATTTACGGCTCTAATGCGTTCTGCCTGTTGCTGTACTGTGGAAAGAATGCTCTCCGGGATTTCTTCCTCTTTCTGTGTTCACAACCACCTGTGAGATAGCTCTAGTGTTATGCACACCTTACAGGAGAAGAAAATAAAGCTCGCGACGGTTGGAACTGTCCTGATCCTTATTCTGTGTTGTCATTATACCACTGCTGGTCACCATTCAGGGCACGAGAAATTCAAAATTGTGGCAGTAGTTTTCTCTTTGCTCCAACTTCAGGGACACATCTTGTTCTACACTGTTGACCATTTTCTTGCAACTTGAGGGTTGCTGTGCCGAGGGGTTGCTGACAGAACTCACACACCCAGACAGGGCTCCCCTAGAGTGGCCCCTGGGTCTAGGAAGAGGATGTATTGCCTGAGTTGGTGGTGGGAGCTGTGGAATGAGAAACATGACGTTGAATAGGGAACTTGGTATAATTCAGGACCTGTCACCACTCACAAACAAGCCACTTACAGGAGCCTGTTTGCCCAAGCCTTTTAACTGGCTTAAATTAATTAGGATAACAATACAGTTCGTTGTTCTGCTTTTCTGTGGAAGAGGTGAAAGATTTACAGTCCTCCCACACACCTCAAGTTGCATTAAAGACTTGAGCATCCTTTCCCCCTGTCCGCTTCCTACAAGTCTTTATTCAGAGGCATTCAGAGTTATCTCCCTGTCTAGGTGTTAAGGGATTACAGTCTAAGGATTGATTTTTCTCTTCTTAGCTGCCTGCTTTAATTTTTTGCTGCACTAACTTACGGGACTTTCCCAAGTTTTTTTTTTTTTTTTTCCTTTTATGACTGAATAGGGTATCTGGGGCCTGCCCTTTGGTGCCTTTCATCTGAAGATCTCCAAGCACTTAATAGGTTACTGGGCTGTGCAAGCATTAAGGTGACGTGTCTGTGTCATTAGTCAAGATTTACGAGTTAGGGAGCAAGCTGCTGGATGAGGAGATGGCTTGAAGTCCTGGGGTGGGCTAAGAGTAGGGCCTGTTCACGGACTCACATCTCAAGTGGATTTGAAGTTTTCATTTTCCACTCAAAGTAAAGGCTCATAAAAAACAAACAACAATGACAAAAACCAAAAACAAATGCAGAAACCCTCAGTCTCAGAGCTAAAATGATAGTAACCTATTTATTGGATGCCTGCAATGTGTTTAATCAGCCTCATTTTATAGTAGGCCCTATTGTTATCCTCATTTTACGTAGGATGAAATTGAGGTGTAGACAGTTAAGTGACTTGCCTTGAGTGGTAGAATCAGGACTCAAGCACAAATAGTCAGTGTACCATGTTCACACCCAAGAAATTCTGGTATGTGTTATTATTTATTGATTGATTTGTGGTGCTGGGATTGAACCCAGGGCCTCTCATGTGCTAGGCAAGCTCTACCATTGAGCTACTTCCCCAGCTCTTTTACTTTTATTTTGATATAGGGTCTGCCAAAGTTCCTGAGGCTGACCTTGAATTTGTGATCCTGTTGCCTCACCCTCCTAAGTAGCTGCAATTACAGGCACATGCCACCACACCTGGTTGGTATGTGTTGTTAATTCCCATTGCTCTAAGAACAGTGCTGTTAATCAGGCAACAAGTATYCACTGAGCATTTATGTGCTCAGTGCAAGGCACAGGTAATGTGAAACAGATTTATCTAACAAATGTGTCAAGTACCTTGCTAGGTAGTCAATAAATCTTATTGAAAGAATGAATATAAAATATAGATATATGAAGGACAGATTGGATTTGGATAGTTTGGCAAGATAAGGACTGGAAAGGGCAACCTTGGGCTGGGGTTGTGGCTCAGCGGTAGAGTGCTTGCTTCGCATGTGCGAGACCCAGGGTTCGAGCCTCAGCACCACATAAAAATAAATAAGTGAAATAAAGGTGTGGTGTCCAACTACAACTAAAAAATAAACATCAAAAAAAAGGGCAACCTTATTCTAAGTTGAAGCAAAGGTTCAGAAATGGGAATGGATAGTGTTTATTGTAGTCTAGAGAGGTGCATAAATTAGCATATTTTTAAAAAATATTTTTTTTGTTGTAGATGGACACAATACCTTTATTTTAGTTTTATGTGGTGCTGAGGATTGAACCTAGTGCCTTCCACATGTGAGGCGAGTACTCTACACTGAGCTACAACCCCAGCCCATAGAAAATTAATTTTAATTCTTTTATTTAATATTTATTTTTTAAATATCAAAATTGTGGTTGGACACAATACCTTTATTTTATTTATTTATTTTTATGTGGTGCTGAAGATTGAACCCAGGGCCTTGCATATGCTAGATGAGCACTTTACTGGTGAGCCACAGCCACAGCTCTAATTTTAGTTCTTTAAAAAAACTCAAATTATTGGTAATGGCTGTATTGAGGAGAACTCTGAAGAAAGAGTGCTGGGGCTGGGGTAGTGGCTCAGTGGTAGAGCACTTGCCTAACATGGGTGAGGCACTGGGTTTGATCCTTAGTACCACATAAAATAAATGAAATAAAGTATTGTGTTCAAATACAACTAAAAAAAAAAAAGAAAAGAAAAAGAAAGAGTGCTGGGACTAATTAGTAATGTCTGCCATGTACTCTATTTAGAAGATGTCAGTTGTAGTAGATTGATACTGTTTGGAGTTATGTCCTCTCTCCTCTGCCCACTGCCGTGTGACTTACAGTATCTCTTGTGAAGGAGTAATATGCCTCATTTCGTTGACTTTGGGCTTGGTCATGTTTCCTGTCTTGGCAGATGGAATGGAGCAGATGTGACTCATGTTACAGTCAAGCACCCGAGTTTCCTCTTTTTTTCTCTGCCAYGAGAATGGGCCTATTGCACATGAAGTTTTCTATTTCTGCCTGGGTCCTGGGATGAGACCTATGGAGCAGAGCTGCAGCCTACCCACAGCCCACAAATACCTAAATCKGAGATAAATCTTTGTTGTAAGTCACCGAGATTTGGAGTTGGATTTTATTGCAGCAAAGCTGACTAATAGCCTTGGCTAGATAGTGGCAGATAAAGTTTGAAAGGTAGGTTTAAACCAGAGTCGAAGAGCATCTTAAATGCCAAGTGAGGTGGAGCCTGCTATGGTGTTTATCGGAAGTGTTTCTCTCTTTAACACAGAGCTGCACCACGTTTTCTAGTTTCTCACTTCTCTTCCCAGGTCTGGCCTCTGAAACTTCATGAGGGAAATCCCTCATGTTCTTTCCTTGTGCGGTTGATGCATATGATCTTAAGTGCAGTGACCTTGAAAGCTACATGTTAAGGATGTTAGAGCTGCCGAGCTGGGGGCATGGTGCATGCCCGTTAACCAGGAGGGCTAGACAGGAGGATTGTAAGTTCGAGGCTAGACAGGGCAACTTAGCAAGACTCTGTTCCAAAATAAAATTAAAAGGGCTGAGGATGCAGCTCAGGGGGTAGAACACTTGCCTAGAATGTGCCAGGACAAGGCCTTGGTGGAGCTCCTGGGTAAAAGAGACATGGTTTCTTGAATCCTCACCAGGCACAGAACTGCCCACTCCTCAGGGTCATTATTTTGTACTTCACTTGACCAATATGTCAATTTCTAAATTTGGGGCTTATTTTTACAGCAGGTGGTGTTTTCTTAATAAATTCATCAAGTTCAAAGGTTTGAACTTGGGACTGGGGTTGTGGTTCAGTGGTTGAGTACTTGTCTAGCATGGGTGAGGCACTGGGTTCAATCCTCAGCACCACATAAAAATAAATAAATATACAATTCGACGTTTTTCTTTTTTCTTACTTTTTTTAGAGGTTTGAACTTAATTCTCATCAGAATGGGAAGTTAGTCACTAATGATTTTTTTTTTTAAAGAGAGAGTGAGAGAGGAGAGAGAGAGAGAGAGAGAGAATTTTTTTATTTTATTATTTTTTAGTTCTCGGCRGACACAACATCTTTGTTGGTATGTGGTGCTGAGGATCGAACCCGGGCCGCACGCATGCCAGGCGAGCGCGCTACCGCTTGAGCCACATCCCCAGCCCCACTAATGATTTTTGAGCAGAAGAATAATTCTGTGAGGGCTGGGGCTTGTAGCTCAGTAGCAGAGCGCTTGCCTAGCAGGTGTGAGGCACTGGGTTTCATCCTTAGCACCACATAAAAATAAACAAATGAAATAAAGGCATTCTGTCCATCTATAACTAAAAAGAAAAATTAAAAAAATAATCCTGTGAAAGAAGGAAGTAATAGGGATCAAAGTTATAGGGATCAAATATTTCTGAGTGAGTTTGAAAGATTTGGGGACTTTTTTTTTTTAGAGTTGAGGAAAACTGACATGATTTTATTTATTTTTTCAGTATTAGGGATTGAACCCAGGGGTCCTTCACCACTGAACCACTGAGCTGTATCCCCAGACCTCTTGTTTTTAAAAATGTTCATTTTGAGACAGTTTTACCAAGTTGCCTAGGCTGTCCCTGATCTTATGATCTTTCTGCCTCAGCCTCCCAGCCTGGAATAATATTTGAAGGGCTCTCAGGGTCTGTAGAAGGAGTTGCTGAAAAATGAATCCTATTTTCCTGAAAAAAAAWTTTTTTGAGGTGCTGGGGACCAAAGCTGGGATCTCTCACATGCTAGGCAAGTGCCAAAGGCAACAGCCCCAATGACATAGGACTTCACACTAGGCCTACCTCTTCAAGGTTTCACACTCTCAACGTGGCTACTCGGGGACTCAGCTTCCAAGATGTGATCCCTTGGGGACAAA